GTGGTGGTGGTGGTTGTTGGTGGTGGACAAGGGGCTTGAACCCAGGGCCTGGTTGCTGTCCCTGAGCTCTTTTTGCTCAAGGCTAGCACTCTACTACTTTGAGCCACAGCTCCATTTTTGGTGTTTTGAGTGGTTAGAGATAAGAGTCTTATGGGGACTTTTCTTCCCGGGCTGGCTTTGAACCACGATCCTCAGCTCTCAGCCTTCTGAGTAGCTAGGATTACAGGCATAAGACACCAGTGCCCAGCTTGCCAAGTGATTTTTAATGAATAAAGCATGATAGTAATCTTCAGGTGATATGTGAAAATCCTGGTCTTCTCCCCATTGCTTCCTGATTTGTACATTTGTTCATTCATTGGGAGAGCCTGACCAGCACCTTCTCACTTGAGGAATGCTAATATATGCCCTGGAAAATCATCTCCAGTCTTTGTGTTCATATCCCTAACATCAAGTTCTGTTTGACTTGGAACTTCTTGTTAAAGTAACTGGCCCATCAAAGAATCTATTTAGATTCTTTTAGATTTATGCAAACATAGTGTAACCACAAGACAGGGTAACATCCAAATAATTGCAAAAGCAAAGGCTTGAGTCAGGGAAAGCTTTAGAGTTGGAAGCAAAAGATTAGGTTTTTTCCTACATCTTTGATGACCTGTGATGCCCTCCTTGGTCTCTGTAAATTAACACAAGAAAGTGAGCTACTTTGCCCCTACCACCCATTTATCATGGAGTCACATGATAACGCCAAAACAAGTAGCACCCTGCTGCCACTTGCTCTGGTTCAGATACTATTGTCAGTATCTTAAACATACTGACTCATTGAATTCCCACAACAATACATATGGCAGTTACTGTTACAATCTTAATTTACTAATGAAGAAGCTGAGACAGAGGGTGACTACCCAGCGACCCTACATCACTAGCAGACAGGAACTCAAAGCCAGTATCTCATGATCTATGAATTTTATCACTTTTTTTTAATAAAGTACACTATGCAACAGTCTTCAAAATGCAACAGAAAGGATTGTGCACACACACTCATCCTTGGGCTTGAACTCTGGCCTTTGTGCTGTCCCTGAGCTTTTTTACTCAAGGCTAGCGCTCTATAAGTTGAACCACAAGTCTCATTTCTGGCTTTTTGGAGGTTAATTGGATATAAAAGTCTCACTGATTTTCTTGCCCTGGCTGGCTTCCAACTGCAACCCTCAAATTTTAGCTTCTGTGTACTTCTTATTACACGTGTAATCTACCAGTGCCTGGCTAACTAAGGGATTTTAATTTTTCCCTTTTTCAAAAATATAAACCTTCAATTTTTATTTTCATTTGGGAGGGTTACTGGGGCTTGAACTCAGAGCCTGGGCTCAGTCGCTGAGCTTTTTTTTGCTTAAGGCTAGTAGTGCTGTAGCACTTGAACCACAGCTCCACTTCTGGTTTTTGTATGGTTAATTGGAGATGAGTCTCACGGATTTTCTTGTCCAAACTACCTTTGAATTGTGATCTTCAGATCACCTCCTCCTAAGTAGCTAGCATTACAGATGTGAGCCCACAGCACCAAGATAAATTCTTATATTTTAAGGCTTTAGGAATATAACTAATTTACAAAGTAAGAGTAGAGTCATATACTCTTCGATGTATGTAAGCCATTCAGTTTTAGGAAATTCTTGGTATCTGTGGGTCACCATCATAGCTCTGTGTGTGTGTGTGTGTGTGTGTGTGTGTGTGTGTGTGTGTGTGTGTACACGCGTGCACGCACGTAAGAGAGAGAGAGAGAGAGTGACAGTGTATTTCCCATCAAGTCCTGGATTATTTTTTGTGATCAGGCAGCTGGATAGTTGGTTCAACTGGCAGGTTTGCTTGGTCAAAAGGTCAAGTGACATTTTTAGGTACAATAACAAATAGTTGAATGCATAATAACCATCATCAGATAATCTTATGATCCTGAGCAATATAACACACAGGATCTAATAGCTCATAAGTCAGACAGGTAGTACTAGTTGCCTAAATTTTATAGGGTTTCTAGAAGGGTATTGTCTTTTCTGATTGCTTGAATGTCTGTAATAAAGTAAGAAAAGTATACCATGCCTCAAGAAGCAAGATGCATAAGCCTAAAAGAGGCAGTGTGTCACAAACCATATGTAGACACTGAGCTGAATTGGGTAGTAAGAATGGTTTTGAAACTAAGCATGGGGTCATTAGATGGATCCTGTCTTCAAGATCAAAGGACAACACACAAAGCAAACCAACTCATTATCATTTCATAGTTCAAATCAGTTAACTAGGACTTTCTCTCAATTTATCCTATTTTCCCATTTTATATAATTATTATAGACGTTTGTCAACCAGCAAAGATTTATGTAGTCGTTTATTTAAAGGATATGAAGTTGCATACCCCCATATAGTGAAATGAGCTCTTTGGAGTGGGATCAGGAGACTTGAGCTCTGTTGTAGCATTCTGCCACTGATCTATTATTGCATGACTTTGTACACCTTCTTTAACTTTTCAGAGCATCCTTTATTTCTTTTTAATCTATAATGGGAGGGATTTACCTAAATGGCTTCTCAGGATCCTCCAAAGTTGGATATTTTTATAATTCTATGGGCATATATATATATATATATATATATATATATATATATATATATCAAGGCATCTTTTGAGTTTATGCAGGAAGATGGTTGCATTAAAACTGAGTGGACACTCACCTTTTCATCCTTGTAAGCATGTATCACTGAAAGGACTTAGTGGAGATTTCTGGAGCCAATGGCCTGCAGAAGTGCAGAGCAGGGCTGGTAACTCCAGCTTCGTGTCAGCAATTGTTATACAGCGAGTAAACAGAGAAGCCACATTTTGAGAGGTAGATGATAGGATCTTTATTAGAAGGCCAGCAAATGCAGGCGGACTCTTATCACAAAGACCTGTTGCCGTGCAAATGCACTTAACACTGTCAGAAAACTGAGCCATGAGAGCAGGAAAGGAAAGAAAGAGCAGAAAAAAAAACCCCACCAGATCAGCTCCAATGGAGAGCTGAGATAGGATGCCATGATGCCAGGCGGAGAGCCAGGAGACAGGACACAAGCAGGCAGGAGGCACGCGCATGGCGTCCCTATGCTGGAGCTGTTCCAGGCCTAAAGAGAGGCTGGTCAGGGGGCAGGATCACAGGGAGCTTGAGAATTCATGACCCAAGACTGTTGTCCAAGTCCCCACCCCAGCCTCGAGGAATTCAGGCATGCCCATCATCTGGGAGGTGGGACTTCTCCTCCACCATGGAACCAAGATGGCACCAGTTAAGCGCAATACTGTATCATCCACCACGTGGCCAAGATAGTGCCAGTTAGATCCGGCATCCCTACTTCACAATAAAGTGTGCATAGTTTTAGGGATAACAAAACAACAATAATAAAGCCAACTTAAAGTAGGTCAGGTTTTTCTAGTCACTATCTGCCAGCAACACACCACGATGCTGGTGGTAAGGTTTGGCTAAATGCTAAACCTTTGCTACATTATTAGGTTTAATAACATACGTGTAAGCTTTAAATTAACATATTGTTTAGTAATGATTCTTTGGTGCTGGATGCCATCAGTCACTGACAGAAATAGAGTCCACTTTTTGAGGGAGAATTCAGGATTAACACCCTTCTGGTGTTAATAGTTTTTTCTGTCCTGCAAGGTTGAACATTCTGGTGTTTAAAGACCAGATTCAAGCCTGTGTCAGTGGCTCACTACTGTAATCCTAGCTACTCAGGAGGCTGAGATCTAAGAATCACGATTCAAAGCCAGCCCAGGCAGGATGTCCAGGAGACTCTCATCTCCAATAAACCACCAGAAAACCAGAAGTGGCACTGTGGTTCAAGTGGTAGAGCACTACCCTTGAGCTGAAGAGCTGAGGGACAGTGCCCAGGCCCAGAGTTCAAGCCCCATGACAGAAAGAAAGAAAGAAAGAAAGAAAGAAAGAAAGAAAGAGGAAGGAAGGAAGGAAGGAAGAAAGGAAGGAAGGAAGGAAGGAAGAAGGCAGGGAGAGAGGGAGGGAGGGAGGGGGGAGGGAGGGAGGAAGGGAGGAAGGGAGGGAAGGAAGGAAGGAAGGAGGAAAGAGGAAAGGAAAGGGGAAGGAAGGAAGAGAGAAAGAGAGGAAGGACTCAAAGCTGGGTGCTGGTGATTCACACCTATAATCCAAGCTACTCAGTAAGCTGAAATCTGAGGATTGATGTTCAAAGTCAGCCTGGGCAGGAAATATGTGAGATGCTCATCTCCAATTAACCACCAAAAACTGTAAGTGAAGCTGTGACTCAAGTGGTAGTGCTAGCCTTGGGGAAAAAAAGCCTAAGCCCCGAGTTCAAGCCTCAGAACTAGCATTAAAAAAAAAAAAAAAGAGTAGACTCGAACAGAAAAATGAGAGCATAGGAATTGCTAAAACCACAGAGTATCTTAACTTTTGTAAGAACAAATTTTAGCTCAAACATGAAACAGTTTACTGAATCTGAATAAAAACTTTGGAGCCAAAATATATTTCTGTTTTATTATCTTAGTTTTTGTTGTTGTTATTGGTAGTCATGGGGCTTGAACTCTGGGCCCGGGTACTATCCCTCAGCTCTTCAGCTCAAAGCTCAAAGCTCTACCACTTGAGCCACAGCACCACTTACTGTTTTTTTTTTGGTGGTTAATTAGAGATAAGAGTCTCACGGCTTTTCCTGCCCAAGCTGGCTTTGAACTGCGATCCTCAGATCTCAGCCTCCTGAGTAGCTAGGATGACAGGCAAAGCGCCTGGCATTTGTTTTATTATCTTAAAGATAAAGAATGGGGATTGGAGACATGGCTCAATTGGTAGAGCACTAGCCAATGAGCAAAAGCATCAGGTACCAAGTGTGAGTTCCTGTCTCAGACCTAAAAAAAGTAGAGAAATGAATCAAGGAAATAATTATGATTACTACTGAAAATAATTATTCAACATGGGCAGGAGAGATTGAAAAGTACTTATTCTGATGCTTTCTTCCTCACATTTGTACAGTTGCTGCCCAACAGCCTACAAAGCACAAGCAACCAAAGGAGCAAGGAGAGAATAGAATCAAGCCTACTACCAAGAAGATGAAACCCAAGATTCCTAAGGTAAAGGACAGGGACTCTGCTGATTCCACACCAAAGACGCCATCGATCATGATGTTAGTGTTGGATAAAGGCCGCTACCAGAAACCTCCTGTCACCCTCAGTCTGATGGCAGGACAAACTGTAGAGCTTCGATGTAAAGGAAGTCCGATTGAATGGAGCTATCCTGCGTACCTCAACACCTTTAAAGACTCTCGCCTCAGGTAAGCTTTTCTCCCCCCACCCCTGGTGTTTAAAGAATAGCTTCAAGGCTGGGTGCTGGTGCCTCACACCTCTAATTCTAGCTCCTCAGAGTGCTGAAATCTGAGGATCCAGAGATCCTGATAACTTCAACAAACAAAAGCTATAGCATCTGCCCCACACACAGATGACTGCAATTCCACCAACGTTTTAATTTGGTGTTTCTTCTTTTTTTAATATAGTATTTGTGCCCCTCAACGTTTGTGTTCATCAGCAGATTCCTGACAACTATATCAGTGTCTGACACAGGACCAGAAATCCAGAGCTGTTGTTCTGTTTCCCTATGGTCTCATGCTCCTCTCGTGAGCCACGCAGTCATTCGCGCGACATTTCAACCTACACACGTAGGACCCTCGTGCATTCCATGCATAGTGAGTGTGACAGGCCAATGAGAAGCCCTGTTTTGTATCGACCATGCTGTGATAGCTAAACCCAGCTCCAGGTCTCCATCTTGACCTCAGAGAGGCATTAGTTAACCCCTTCTGCTTCCTCCCCTGTACCTACCCGGCCCCAGTTCTGTTTCCACATCTCTCTAGTCATCGAAGATTTCTGGAGTCTATCTTTTCTACTAGTAACAGTGTCCGAAGTTCTTTTTAGGTTTTGTTCTTCTTTTTTCCCCACTGGGAAATGTCTAATCCCAACTGAACCTGTCCACCTTCTCTCTCTCTCTCTCTTTCTCTCTCTCTCTCATATTGGCATGTGGTCTGATGGACATCGTTGGCTTCAGGGCATTTCCATTCTGCCTGCCAAGACTGAGTACATCTCAGTAGTGAGCTCACGTTTCCTCTCTGCTTTTATCTCTGAGCTCCATCTTTTTCACCTTCAGCGAATGAACTCATCACCTAGTTTATGCCAAACTTGGAGTTCTCACGTTGCCTCAACTTCCCTTACAGCTCTTTCTTTGTCTTCCATTACACTGGAGGATGAGTTTCATCTTCTAAGGTCCAAAGCTCTGTCAGTGCCCTTGAACTCATCCTTCCAGACTTTCTCAGGGACTTGAACACATTCATTTACTGTCACTCAGACCTTGGCCTTCAACCTGTGCATCTTGACTGGATCCTTCCCATAAACCTTCACAAAAATTCAATCCCGCCAGGCACCAGTGGCTCACGCCTGTAATCCTGGCTGCTCAGGAGGTTGAGATCTGAGGATCATGGTTCAAAGCCAGCCCAAGCCAGCTGGCTTTGAACTGCAATCCTCAGATCTCAACCTTCTGAGTAGCTAGGATTACAGGCGTGAGCCACTAGTGCCAGCATTTTCATTTGTTTTAAATTGACATAATAATTGGGCATATCTGTCAAGTATAGTGTCACTGTAACTTTATACCTGTCATCTCACCCTGCTTCTTCCCAAAACCCTCCTTAGCTTCTGGTTACCACTCAGATAAGGAAACTGGTGAAGAATGACAAACTAGTAAGTGACAGTTCTGAATCCTAGAACTCATTCCAGTCTTCTGGTTCTTGAGGTTGAGCTTCTGCCCTACTTCAGTGTTCTGTGGTCTGTCTTGTGCCAAGGTCACTTTTGACCCGATAGAACTCTAGATTGCTTGTCTATCATTTTATTTCTAGGCTAGATAAAAATAAATAAATCTCATTTCAAACTTAAGATTCAAAAAAGGAAATGAATATATATACATATATATGTATATGTATGTATGTATGTGTATATATATATATATATACTTATCCAAGAAGGTTGCATTGTTATCTTTCTGGAATACCTTTCAATTGATGTGCCTTGGCTTCAAAGAAAAAAAATTATTAGATAGGCCACTAGGTGGCAGGCTTCAGCCATGCTACAATTTTCTTCAGTAAAAGATTCAATTAAAGATTGGATGGATAAAATCAGCTCACACTTGAGCCTATGGCACTTTCATCCTGTTAGACTACACAGATTCACATATTCATGTTAGACTACACACATTTCACAGATTCATGTTGCACTTTAACTTATGGAGAATTCCGGCCAAATTAAAAGGGTGAGAAGTTGTACATTTATGTAGCCACAGAAGCATAAATTCATGTCTAGCCCAGAGTCCTATGGGGTCTTTCAAAAGCAATAGCTACATTGAACAGTTTAATTTGTCCTTCAGAGGTATACAGTAACTTGCTGGAGACTGTGTCTTCAGGTGTTGAAACTAATTCAGTTTTCATTTCCACATAGGATGTACTTCTGATCACATAAATAGCCTCTGTCTTTGAGACTGGAAACTGGAAAAAAAAATATCTGACAATAATTACCATTTATTGACTACTCTATTTCCTGGCTCTTCTGTCTCTTCTTTTTCCAACAAATTTTCAAAGCATCTGCTATGTCCAAGACCCCATGCGAAAATGATGTTGGGGATGTGATGGTGAGCAAAATAAATATAATCTGCTTTTATTTTATTTTTTGCCAGCTGTGGGGCCTGAACTCTGGGCCTGGGCGCTGTCCCTCAGCTCTTCGGTTCAAGGCTAGTGCTCTACCACTTGAGCCACAGCTCCACTCCTGGCTTTTTTTTTCTGCTCATGTGGTGCTGAGGAATCGAACCCAGGGCCTCATGCATGCAAGGCAAGCACTCTACCACTGAGCCAACTTCCCAACCCTACAATCTGCTTTTCATGTGTAGGAGGACAGCAGTGTGTTTGCCTTGCTAACAGAAGTACTGCACCAGGGAGGAGAAAACTCAGTGATATGTGAAGATTGAGAGTTAATAAGATAGAGGAGGATGTAGAAAAAGGCAAGAAAATTCCAGAAGGAGAAAATGACCCTCAAGAACCACCTAGAAGTGAGAGAAAGCATAGCACCTAGAACATGGAGGGATTAGCTAAAGTGGCTACAGGCAAAGGAAAGGGGAAGGAGGCTGCAAGGAAGAGAGGATGCTGGGAAGTAAGCAGGAACTACATGGAGAGCCTTGTTCTTCATGTGGAGCAATTGAGAGTAGAATCTAGGGAAGTGGTACTGTGGCTCCAGTGGTAGAGTGCTAGCCTTGAGGACAAACAGGCTCAGAGACAGTACCCAGGCCCTGAGTTCAAGCCCTACAACTGTTGAGAAAGAGGCCGGGGAGGGAGGAGGGAGAGGGTTGGGAAGAAGGAGGCAGAGGGGGGAGGGAGAAGGGAGAGGGAGGGAAGGGAGGAAAGGGGAATCTCTGCTCATGTATTCCCACAATCCATTTTTACCTTCTCCAGAAACCTCCCATTTTGTTCATACCATACTACATCTACAGAGTCTAGAGCAGGGGGGTTTTCTGACACCATGCTGAGCCAGGGAAGAAAGTAAGAAGTTTATAGCAGTTGGCCTGGCCAGTGGCTTGAATGAATGGGTGCTGGTAGGAAGAAGGAGACATGGGAGACTTGGCTGGGTTGTTAGTGATCTCACAACAGCAGAAGGCTGAGCTCATACCATCATCCTGCTCCCTAAAGGGTCCAGGCATTGTCTTTAGGAGGCCTTCCATGGTGGCTGGTGGTGGTGGTGGCTGGTGGTGGTTGGTGGTGGTGGTTGTTGGTGGTGGTGGTTGTTGTTGGTGGTGGTGGTTGGTGGTGGTGGTGGTGGTGGTTGGTGGTGGTGGTGGTGGTGGGGTGTGTGTGTGTGTGTGTGTGTGTGTGTGTGTGTGTGTGTGTGTGTGTGTTTTCAGACAAGAACTGGAAGTTAGGAGGAGTGGGTGGGGCACACCTCCCTTGGATGGTGGGTTCCTCTGAAAACAATAAATAGCTCTAGCAAGAGAAGGCTTCTGCATTTTCATTTGGCTGCAGTTGGCAAGAACTTTACTACCCCACCCACAGTGCACACAAAGGAGGGTGGCTGAGGAAACAGACTGCGGGCTGCTGGCCAGTCTCAGCAGGCTGCCTCTTCAACATGGGCAAAGAGAAGGGTCTGGGAGGCACTTTAAAGGGAAAAGAAGGATGTTATGAAATGTTTATAAACAGAAGGATCCCACTGTTGAGGGGAAAAAAAAATCTTCATCCGCTTTGGTAAAGATCATCGGCACGCTGACAGGCCTACTGAGTGTATGAAATGTATACGGTGACTTTTTTTAATATAAAAAAGTATGTGATAGCTTTTCACTCCCACCTGTTGTATCTTGGGAAACTCTACATAAAATTAAATGTATAACTTTTACAAATCATTTTTAAGCGTAGTTCTGTACATTTGTATGCAACCTCACGGTTAGGCAGGTGTCCTTTAAGTTTGTGCTCTCTTTCAAAGCTGGCTCTTATTTTCTGAGGAGACCCATTAAAGATGACATATCTCTCCTTTTGCTCTTTTCCTTACCTGGAGAAGTCATGTTCCCAGTTCACCATGGCAAATGAAAGGCATATGCTAGCCAGGTACCCCCTAGATGGACTCCTAGCTACTTAAGAGGCTGAGATCTGAGGATCACAGTTGGAAGCTAACCTGGGCAGGAAAGTCGGAGAGAAGCTAACCTGGGCAGGAAAGCCGGAGAGACTCTTCACTCCAATTAACCACCAAAATCAGGAAGTGGAGCTGTGGCTCTAGTGGTAGAGTGCCAGCCTTGGACAAAAAAGCTAAGGGAGTAGCACCTAGGCCCTAGTTCAAGCCCCAGTACTGGCGTGCACGCGCGCGCTCACACACACACACACACACACACAGTTCAGCTAAACTTTGATCCATTCAGATTGAGAACAAATAACTCATCACAGCACCCCAGAACCCCAGCATGTCCTGTGAGATAGACTAGCAGGAGTCAGCAGATGAGGCTCCTCGGGTGGACTGACTGTCCTCACAGTGTTGAAGTTGCAGAACAACACAGCCATGTTCCATTTTGGACATGGGTGGAGGAAGGTAATAATAGAACCAGTCTCATTGTGCTGTCAGGATGAAATGAGGTCATGTGCGTTAGCTACTTGGCACACACAGTAAGCTGCCGCAATAATGAGCTATTTTCATTCCTCCTCCTGTACCCCCAGAAAGGTAAATCACAAGAAAGCAGCCCATTCACCAGAAAATGGTTAATGTATATGTC